CACCCTTCTGGGCAATCAGGAGAGACTCTGTAATCTCACTTCCTAGTATCATGGAGTCCGCTGGGTGGGTCGTGCTAATGAAGAAAGGAATGCTGACTAGCAGGGTATATCTGAAACGTGAGGGTCCCAGGGCTTCCAGGTTCAGAACCTCTCAATTCAGGATTTCTCAGATTTCAGACACGTGATTAAGTACTGGTCCCAGGTGGGAATTAACACCCTGGCCAGGCAGGGCTGGCATCAAAGAGATCACTCTCCTGAGCAAAACCACAGATGTTGCCAGGAGTGGTGGTGTGTGCCCGTAATGTCAGCTTTGGGGTGGGGGGGTATATGGGGAAGAAGATCAGGAATTCAAGGTCAGGGACTGGAGAGATGGCCCAGCAGTTAAGAACAGTTGCTCTTGCAGAGGACCCAAGTTCAGTTTCCAGGACCCACATGGCAGTTACAGATGGTGGTCTCCATGGTAACTCCAGTTCTAGAAGCTCCAGTGCCTTCTTTGTCCTCCATGGGCACCAGGCACACATGTGGTACACAGACATACATGCAGACAAAGTCTCTATACACATAAAAGATTTTTTTTTAAAAATCAAGATCAACTTTGGCAACATAGGGAGTTTGAGGCCAACCTCAGTGAGATGAGACTGACCCTGTCAGTTGGAAAAAAGAAGAATGAAGAAGGGGGAGGAGGAAGAAGGAAAAGGAAGAGGATGAGGAGGATGAGGAAGAAGGAGGGAAAGAAAGAAAAAGGAAGAAAAATGTTCTTTCCAGGTGGAAGAAGTAGTAAAACATACCCTTGAGTTAAAAGATTGACTTGCCACCAAATAGGTTAAGAACAGTTTGTTTGCTGGAGCTTTTTGGGTTTTAGAAATGTGGGTAAAGGACTGTATACTCCTACTTTACTCAAGGATATTCTTGGACTGGAGAGATGGCTCAGTGGTTAAGAGCACTGACTACTCTTTCAGAGGTCCTGAGTTCAATTCCCAGCATCCACATGGTGACTTACAACCATTTGTTGCCATGAGATCTGGTGCCCTCTTCTGGCCTGCAAATAAACATGTATACAGAATATGGTATACAGAATTTTTTAAAAATATACCCCCCCCCAAAAAATATTATTTCCCTGGAGAACCATAGCTTCATGATATGCCCATCAATATGGAGGGTTTAGTTGGTGCGCACAGAGCATTCTAATCTCACTGTTTCTGAGTTTCTGATCATTCTTTTTATGCTGCACTAGTTTTGCTTTTGAAACAGTGGTTTCAGGAGGATGGCTTCTTCTGCCCTAAGCGTACCCTGGAGACCCCAGGCTTCTCCTCCAATGTATGGACATCTCATTTGACCCAATGGGAATCTCCTGAAAATGTTATTTCCCAGATTTGGGGGGAGAAAAAGATTTTGTTTTTATTCACAATGTGTGTGCACATGAGAGCAGTGCCCATGGAGGCCAGAAAAGGGCATCAGATTTGCCGCACCAGGAGTTGCAGGTGATTATGAGCTGCCTGGTGTAAGTGCTAGGAGCCAAACTCTGGTCCTCCGCAAAAGCAGCGTTCACTCTTAGCTCTTAACCTCTGAGCCATCTCTCCAGTCCCTCTTAGACCTCTCTTTTTCTCTAAGGAAAACAGAGGGTAGATTTTAACAACCCTTTTCTGGTGCTTAACTTTGTCCTTGTTCATCTTATGGTGTCTTGGCTGAACACGTTGTTCTGTGATGTGACAAGTCCTCTACCTGGCATGTTGTTAGAAATCTTTGTTTCTCCTACAGAGCACTCTCAGTTCCGGTGTTTTAGGTAGTCAGATACAAGCACATCATCCTAACCCATCACCCCTCGAAAACCAGCACAGCACTGAATTACCATTTCTATCCTGGCAACAGTAACAGTTACTTAAACTTTGTAAATATAGCCTAGTTGATATTAAAAATAATGTTAAAAAAACTGGGGATTTTTTTTTAAAAAGTGGTTGTCTAATATTTTTTTAAAATTCGTTTTCTAAAAATAGAGTATGGCGTGAGCTGTTTTGCAGTGTGTTTTAAGCTAGTGTTCATCAGTCATGAACTCTGGAATCACGAAAATGTGGCAGACCCTGGACAGGATAGCTGGACCTTTTAGCTCATGTGTTAGGCTACAGCCTTGTGGAATAGCAGCCTCTCCCATTGGGGTGACTTTCTCCCGCCCCAGGACTTAACCAGGCCCATCCTTCTTGCCTGCTAAGGTCAGAGGTGCAACCTGACTGTAGAGTATTAGAGCGACTTTCTTATTTCTAGTTGCGCATGTTGGCCAGGACTGGGCACCTCTAAGTGACTGCAGGTGTTTATAAACAGAAAAAAGGCAAACAGAGCATGTCTGCAGACTCATCCTCTGGGGAGGCCTGGGAGTCGTGGATCCCTTCCAGAGTATAATGGATTTGGACGGGCTTCATGCCCTGGTGACTTCCCTGCATGCTTTGTGTGTAACCTTGCCCTGGAGGAGTGTAAGAGAATCCACGGCAAGCCTGAGCAAGGAAGTGGAGCCTGTGGCTGTCATCGGGGATGTTTGTTTGCCAACAAACCCGTGGTTGGTAGGGAAAAGGAGCTCTTCCTTCTTCGGTCCCTTCCCTAAATATACTTTAGACATGATGAGAGGAAGGAGCCTGAACTCAGGTTTCAGCTCCATGAAGACACAGCTCATTGCTTTTCACAGTTCCAACAAATAAAACCTTAGCAGCAAAAGTGCCTTTTCCTGTTTAAGGAGTCACCCTGGGCACTGACGAGCACTGAGCCAAATCTCCATGTTCAAGTGTCCATAGTTAAGGAGGCAGAAAAGACCCTCTGCCCATCACTGTGGCATCTCAAGTGTTTGGCCAACTGAATGTTGGCTTAAATTGTGCCTCCCTGGCATGTAATTCTAAGCCATAGTTGGTAATCTCGTTTTCCTAAACGCCAGGGGTTTCCTCTTTGAAAATCTCCAGTGGCTTTGCCGTTGTCCACTGGAGCACCTTGGACCTTTCTCGGCCATCATTTAAGGTCCTCAAAATGCTGTTCCCAAACTATCTTTTCAGCCACATTGTCCCTTAAGATGAATCACTCTAAGTGATCTCTCCCAACCAAGTTACATGACTGCTTTAACAGTAAATATGAGCGCCGTACCCTTTTCACACAAGGTCATCCCCAAAGCCCACTTTTTACATTACACCCAAAAATGGCCTGCATTTCCTCAAAACTCTCGTATTGCTTGTTTAAGTTAGCATGACCTGACTTTACTCCCCTACCCACGCCGCCAGTTATCTTCGAAAGAACATCTCTCGTTTTCTCAGCTACTGTGAGCACATTCTGTGTCCTATCCCACATACATCTACCCCAGTGCTTTCTTTATAACACCGAGGGCTCCAGCTTACTGGCCAGTAGACAGCAAACCTTTTTTTTTTTTTTTTTTTTTTTACTGAGCACTTGGATATGTTGAATCAAACAATTCAAAGTTGAGCATTCCCTTCCGATTGGCTGTTTGAAGATGACTACCTGAACATTCCTGTTTTTATTCTTAGTAAATCTGGAAAAATGCCAGCAATTCTAATGTTACTAAACATCTAGATGCTCGTAGACTCCTCTGAAACAAACTTGGATGACCGGCATGCTTTTCCCCAATTCCATTTGATGATGGAGCTGCCGAGGCCATTGCTGTTGGTGTTGCTGTCCACTCGAGAGACACAGATCCTTAAGTTGGCAGCATAGGTTTAAGGGTGATTACTTTCCAGTCACCCCAAGATGTTTCCACCTCTGTCTGCAGCCTTTCCATCCCATGCCCCTTGCCTCCTCCTAACGTGTTCCTTCTTTCCTATTTACTTATTGTTCTCCTGTTTGCTGCCTTTATGTGGTAAAGTCCAAGCTCCTGGTGGCCAGTGTTTACCTAGCTTTATATGAACAACACAAAAAGCTGCCAACATCTTAGGTTAATGCTATGGATCTAATGCATGTCTCCACAAGATGAGTCCTGGCAAGCCCAGCTGATAAACTCAAGGGCTTGTGGGTGGGCCAGTTTAATGAAACACTATTCAGATACCAGAACCATGTCCAAGTGTACACTGTTAACGACTCTAGAAACTGGGTGTAGATATAGATGGCAGGAACCCCTAGCATAAAGGGGGTGCAGAACTGCCAAGTGACTGGACATAGGTGTATGACCCTTCAACTACAGGTCACACAGTGTAAGACTAGCCCAACACAAAAGAGTAAACTCACTTACAACAGTAAGAGATTTGTCGGGACTTTATTTCTGTAACTCTGGTTGTGTGGGTCGAGTGTGAACTTGCAGACGATAAAGTCGCTGTTCCACAGTGCCAAGGTTGATCTTGCTGGGACTCTACACGATAGTCAGGCATCTGAAGAAGGTCGGTTGATCCGGGGCAGTTTAAACTGTCTTCAGTCCCGAGCATGTGGGAGTTTATGGGAGATGACGCTCCAACTCCGGCACCTCCTGCATCAGCCCTCCCAATAGTCCGGATAATCCGCCTCACGCTTGCTAAATAGTCTCCAAACTTGTCCAAAGGAAAGGCTGGTTCTGTAGCGCACTGATGGAACAGTTTCCAGCAGGAGGTGAATCTAGAGGAGCAAAAGCTACTTCAGGAATGAGCAGACAGTCTGCCCTTCTTGGAATCTGTGCGCCCAACTGCAGGGGCCCGGAAGCTTCTCCCGGGATCCTCCCCCCACTCCCCATCCCCCACCCCCGCGCGTGCCAGCCCCTGGGATCCTTTTCTTCCCACCTCATACCCAATGCTACTCGGGATCCAAAACACAGTCCGAGTAGGTGAGGCTGTTCGCGTGTGTATATCTCTGTGAGGGCCGAGTACGTGAGGCTGTCCGCGTGTGTAGCCCTGGCCCTGCGCTGGAAAAGGAGACCCTTCAGCTTGTGTGTCCTGTATTCTTTCCCTGCTAGATCACATAAACGACAGGAGGAGGGGGTTGTTTTCGTCTGAAGCAGGGTGGTTATTTTCTCGGAAAGTGATGTGATGTTTCTTGACTTTCTCTTTCAGCAATGAGGTGGTGAGGAGTGACCTAAAAAAGCTGCCAGCCCTTCCCACCCAAGCCCTGAAGGAGCACCCCTCCCTGGCCTACTGGTAAGACCCCCTGTCCCAGAACCTTCTCACAGACAAGTCTCCTGTCTCAAGGAGGGCACAGTCTTCAGACCACTGAGCCAAACTCTATCAGCTCCAACATCCCTCCTCTTCTTCCCTCTGTGTCAGGCAACTTAGATGTTCAGAACTGTTTTCAGAGTTAGATGTAGTGGTTTATGCCTATAATACCAGAACTGAGGGAAAATGAGACAGAAGAATTGCAGGTTCGAGGCCAGCATAGGCTACACAGCAAGTTCCAGGATAGCTTGGGCTAGGGTAAACCTTGTCTCAAAAAAAAAAAAAAAAAAAAAAGAAAGAAAGAGAGAAAGTCAGAGACCATAATCTGCATTTATATACAAAGCTATCTAACATATTACAGTATGTTAACTCTCTCCCTTAATAATAACATTTTTATGATTTCACCTTTGAAATGACACCTCCTCAAAAAACCTTTCCTGTGCTGGCCCAGTTTCATGTTGGTCCATGGATGGATGGACAGGATGTGGGAGGCCTGGAGGGGTGGGAGAAGCAGGGACATCGTTTCCTTGGCAACAAAAGAAGCAGGTTGGTTTCTTTCTCCTTGGTGTTCCCTATATCCCAATTTATCCCTTTGTAACATTATGCTGTAGTTCATCGGCCGAGTTCTGAATTACCCAATTCCACGTGATTTAGGCATTTGTGGTTGGGTCACGGTGGAGCAGGGCTCACATTCCTGAGGGGTGCATTGGACTCCTGCCCCCTGACAAGGACAGGACTGTGTCCTTGGTGTTCCTCTGAACCTTTCTCAGAAAGCAGTGTGGCTGCTCATAAGACACAGTCGTGGCAGGACACCTGGTGTTATAGGCCTGATACCCCAACTGCTCAGAGGGCTGAGGCAGGAGGATTGCAAACTGAAGACCTCCCTGAGCTACAGAGTGAACTCAAAGTCTGAAACTTAGTGAGACCTTGTCTTAAAAAAAATTCTTTTTAGGGGTTGGGGTATAATTTAGTGGTGTGATGTTAGCTGAGCATCTGTGAGACCCTCAGTACAAGAAAAAGAGAGGGGAGGGGAAAGTAGAGGAGGGAGACAGAAGAGAGGGAAGTGGGGATGGGAGGGGAGAGGAGAGGGAGGGAAAACAAAAAGCACTGAACAAGTTGGTCCTAGTAACCTCCAGCACACAGCTCCCCAAGCCCTTGTAAATACAGCCTAAAATTTTTGAACTAATATTCCACCTGTTTAGACGCTAAGCGTTCACTTACTCAAGTAGTCTTAAGGATGCCGTCAGATTGGGTGGCCCATAATGCAGAGTTCTTTAGGGAGACGAAACCCACACTCCGAACTCACTTTTCTCAGAGAACCCCCCCCCCTCCTGAAGAGCTGGACTCAAAACTGTGAGCGCCTGACAGCAGACTCCCATCTCTCACTCCACCTCAGACCTGACCTATTATCCTTCTTCCTTTGGCAATGTATCTATAAATAAAGAACAGTCATGCCACGGACGCCAAATTCAAACCCTGTCTGGGTGATATTTGTGAGAGGAAGGCCAGCCTGGGCTATCTAGGGAGACATTGCCTCATTAAAGAAGATTGATGATAATAACTCAAGAGGCCAACGGTTCTCACATGCAGGCCTGAATTGCACTTGAGAGCTGTAATGTGGTAGACAGTCTGGAGTCAGGATTGCCTTTGACCTAATTCATCCCTCAATCATGTCTTTATTTATTGTCTAACATGGTTAAACCAACCCCCAATGCCAATTGCGGAGCTCCTGCTCTTTCCCTCTCTCCCATTCTGGATCTTTCTTGCACTGTCTCCCCCAGATCCTCTGTGTTTGTATTATTAGTAATATAGAAAGCCTTCTTTTGGGCCCTGCTCTCTGCCTTTTATCAGCGTGAATATCTCTCCGCCTGGATAGCTTACCCTCAGCCATCTTTAGTAAGAACATATCCTTGAGGCACATGACCAGGTCAGCCCTTTCCTCAGGCCTCACTCAGACCATGAGTGCACAGTCACTGTCTAATGGACTGGGAGAGTGGCAGGGTAGGGAAGCCAATGCCACACCCCACTGTGAATGAATCAGTAGCATGGACCATCCTGACGCTAAAGAACCCATGGCCCTTTCCCTACCTCGTTGCTTTGTACTCAGTTGCTTGTGGCTAGCTCTGATTTTTTCATCCTATTTACACAGATTTCCAAAAAGCAAAGAGGGTTCAATTCTCTGTAATTTGTGAGTTTCTCATTGTTACTCTGTCTGGTCCTTAAAGCAATCTGAGGTATTATGGACACAGTCCGCAGAGCTAGGAGCACCTAACCTTTCTGTAGGTCCCAGAGACAGGTGGAGTGGAGTGGGACAGGCTAGATGTGTCCCCACCTGGCACTGAGTATGTCATCCCATGTCAGGCCCCTGTTGACTTAATGGGAAGAAAGAAGTGGGAAAAGCGGAGGCGCGAGGAGGTCACCGCTGTGGCTTGCCAGATGGCTTTAGACAGCAGGCAGCCAGACAAGATTGGAGGGGGAAGCAATTTTTGCAGCTGTCAGGCCCCAAGAGACCTTGTAGTCAGACCAGCAGAACAGCTGCCTGTCAGCATTTGGGACTTTGGGTTGTTGATGTTTCTTAAGCCTTGCTTTATGTTCGTGGCATCATAGTGACTTTCAGTCCCCACCCCTACTTTAGGGATGCTCTCACCCAGAACTAGAAAAAAAAATAGTCATGAGTCTCCACTGGTTAGCTTGACCACAGATCTAGAAGTTGACCTCACCAAATCACAGTTATGTGGTAGAGAGCATGCCATCAAAGGAGAAAGCAGAAGAAAAGGAAGAGAAGGTTCCACCTAAATTCTGGGGTGATGAATTAATAATGGGTGGTCAAGATCAGTGAATGAAGTCTTGAGGGTACAACCCTTGTATCGCACATGCTCCTCATCATGACATTCTTACACAAAGCTAAAGGAGTCCTCTTGTTGAAGAAATGGCAGGTGAGTCAGTGGGAATCTAAGTTAAAGCTATAGGGCAGGGTATGGAGAATGGAACTTTAAGGGTTGTCCTTAGTAGGTGGGACACAGGCCTTCTGTGGGCTGGCACTGGAACCCCTGCACCTATAGTGGGAGCTGCCATTGTTCCCACCTTTCTTGTTACTTCCCCAGGGAGTCTGTGCCATTACCCCAACCACACTCCATTCTGTCAAAGAAAATTTTGGCTGGCCATCATCACCAAGGAGCCAATTAATTTCTTGTTAATTTTAGAAGGAAGACCTCAAAAAATAAACAAGCTGCAATTTCATTCTGTTAGCTAGTCTGTTGTTTACCCAGTGTGGCCCTGGAACTTTTATTAACCAGGCCCAAATTCCAGAATTTTCTCTCTTCCTTGGAAGTTCTGAGACCTTAACTACTCAGAACGGTTTGGCCTGGAGCGCTGGATAAGAGCAACACTACCCACTGCCCCAGATCCCGTGTGGACTGGACCAGTAAAGGAGGAGGATCAGAGGGGAGAGCTGAGCAAGTTCAGCCGCAACATCCTCTGTGGCTGGTGCCAACTGACTCTTCATGCTTTCCTATTCCGTGCTATCTTGCAAAGAACAAACCCCCAAACCTGCATGTTAATCTTATCCAACTGAATAGCAGTCAGAGATAAAGGTAATGTAAGTCCTCTGAGGAGAAAGCAGGCTTTTCTATCCCCACCATTGCTAAGAGACTTCGCTTGAGCAGCGTTGAGACATGTCACTTCAGGACACGGTTATTTTCCAGCTGCAGCTTCCTCAGAGGTTCTCAGGAGGATGGAGGGTGGCATCTTAGTGCCTCGGGGTGGCAGGATGCTCAACCTCTAATGCCAGAATCCTTTCCTTCTGATTCTAGTGAAGACAGAGTCATTGAGTACTACAAGAAGCTGAATGGCCAGACGAGGGGTCAAGCAATTGTGAAGTAAGTGGCCCTTCTGAGTACGCACTAAGATTGTGTTTAGGAGCTGGAGAGAGAGCTCAGTCAATAAGGTGCTTGCCCTGTAGCAGAGGGACCCCAATTCAGAACCCCAGAACCCACATTAAAAAAATAAATAAATAGGCATGGCAGTGTGTTTATAATGCCAGCACTGGGAAGGCAGAGGCAAGTAGATTCCTAGACCTCATTGGCCAGCCAGCCTAGCTGAATCAGTGAGCTCCATGCCACTGAGACCAAATTTTGAAATAATATGGAGAGTAGTAGAGGAAGTCATGCAACATCAACTTACACATACTCACAATTGTATTTGCAGATGTGTACATACATAAACACATACACACAACACACATACACATGCACAAAGACAGTGTGTTACGAGGCCAGCTATCAAGGTAGTTGATTTCTCCTTGGAAAGATATATAGGGAGAGGGATGTTTCTACTAATTTCCAAGTTAATAACCACTCCAGAACTTCATTACACACATCAAAAGAACGTGTGTATGTGTGTGTGTGTGTGTGTGTGACACCACTTCTGACTAATAACCCTTATTGTGTTGCCGTGTGTTGTGTGTTATCTCCACAGCTACATGAGTATCGTGGAGTCTCTCCCAACCTATGGTGTCCACTATTATGCAGTGAAGGTAAGTGAACTCATTGGCTGAAGTCTGCCCACGCTGTCCTGGAAAAGCAAGCAAGCAAACAGAAAATTCTCTTGTCTTTTAGTCTGAAGATTTGGAGGGGAATGGGAGTTGATGGAGGTTGGCTTGGTCAAAAGATTGCTTGCCAGGGGAAATTGAGCAACTGAATTTTATCCCTAGGGTACTAACACTTGATGGAGTAACTCTCCAATATTCTTTTTTTTTTCCTTTTGTGAAGTAATGTGATAAATCTCTACTTCCTTTTGGTCTCAGAGGAATCCTGGGAAATCAGGGTTTGGGGGCCTCTCACTAGAAAGTCTCCATCAAATACAAGGAACTAGAAAAACCAAAAACTTGTGGCAGAATGTCGTATTATCTCTTGGGGTCTGATGCCACATGGTCTGCTTTCCAAGGAGAACTGGGACAATTAAAAGGATCTGAGACTGTGTTCTTGAATGTGGCGTTGTCAAATCCAATGTGGCATTGACTTCAGTCTAAGCTTATTAAGCCCCACCCACTCTGTGCCACACTGAGATCTCTTTCTGACAGGATAGGTAAAGATGCCCCCTTTCTCAAGCCCAAGTTACAGTCGAGAGCAGGGCAACCTGGCCTCTGGGTGCTTCTTCTGTTACAGATGAAGAAGGTGAATCCCCTCAGAGGTCCAGCCTCTTAGGTAATGTTGTGTAGGCGGATGTGGCCACTGACCCCCAAATAAAGTACCAGTGTTCACGAAAAGGGGCTCAGAATCCCTCTGCGGGGTTTAACACTCTGACTCCACAGTGTCACTGGGTTTCCTCTTGTTTTATTCAGCAAAATCAGTGCTATGCGTAGGCACCTCCCAGAGACAGTAGCAAACAATCAACATAATAGTCTTATACTACATGTACCTGTCTGTCTGTCTGTCCATCTGTCCATCCATATATTCGTATATCTTCCTAACGTGCATAAGGCCCTGAGTGCAACCCTCCGTGCTGTAAATAAATAAACAAATAAATAAATAAATGATTTTTTAGGTGGAGTGGGGTAGTTCAGTGATAGAGCCCCCATTTAATGCACATGAGGCCATGAGTTCAATCCCCAACACCAACAGAAAAACTTGTAAAGAAATCATATACTCCTAGAGCTTTACATGAACCTTTTGCCCCCAAGTTTATTTCTTTGGTCTTTAATATGTTTGCTTGCCTTGAAATAATTCATTCCTGCAAACGTTTACAGACCGCCATACTGATTTTGAGTGTCCGGGGCTCTTGTGATGAAGACATCAGTCAGGGCATTCACACATGTGAAAATCAGTACAAATCCTGTGGAAAGGCTGCTTGCTGCACCCAGCGTAAAGTCCTAGCCTTTGGGAGCATGTGGGAACTCCTCAGAATTATCCTCAAAGGAGGCGATAAGGAGTCTTATAAACAGAGGGGCGCAGGGTTTGTAATCCAATCCTAATAATGTTCTGGCTTCAGTTTTGCTACACAAGTCCTAAAAGTCCTCATCCAGCTGCCCTCCTAGGCGAGCAGGGTATCATGGTGGCACCCTTTAGCCTGTGCTGCCTTCGGCTCAGTGTGGCTGGGAAGGTTTAACTTCTGTTAAAGTTTGTGCCCTTGGCTTCAATATCTTTGCCCTTCAAAGGAAAGAAGCCTCTCCATGGTCTCCTGGGTTCTCTCTGGGTCTGACAGTCAGCGGCAGTTTCTTTGATTAGAAAGCCGTTCATTTTCTTTAAAATACAATCTATATTTCATGTTTTTCTATATGGCGAGTGACTCAGCCTGGCTTTGGGGGTCAGAGGACAGGGTGCTTGCGCTTGTTCATCAAAAGATAAAGATGGAGGCTGGGGAGATGCTCAGTTGGTAAAGTGTTAGGACCTAAGGTAAGCCTTAGGACCTGAGTTCAGATCCCAGCACTCAAGTAAAATTTCCAGTGCTAGTAAGGCAGAAATGGCAGGGGAGGGGGGTGGCAGAGCTGGAGCTCTCAGAGCAATCAGTGCTAGCCACTCAGTGATCTCAAGATTCAGTGGAAGAACCTATTCAAAAAAAATACAAGGTGGAGAGTATGGGCCGGGATGGGGGAGATAACTGATGTCAGCCTATGGTCTTCTCATGTATGTCCGTGTATGCGTATGCACACCTGCACACAGGGACGGGTATGCATGCTTACACCAAATGCGTAAATAAGTAAGATAGGGAGGGATACAGGTGTCCTGGTTGTGGACAGAGCCAATTGCCCAACTCAGGCGTGGTCCCCAGCGCTGTTCACATAACTGAGCAGGCATCCACGATGGGCACAGCTGGTAAGATATAAAGTAGAGAGGGTCCCTTCCACTCCAGAGACACTACCTTTTCCCTTGTTGTCAGCTGAGAAATCTCCTGGTCTGTGTTTATCTTCTCCAGCCCCTTGTTGACCTTTCTTCCCTTTAACATCCTAGGACAAGCAGGGGATACCGTGGTGGCTGGGACTAAGCTACAAAGGAATCTTCCAGTATGACTACCATGATAAAGTGAAGCCAAGGAAGGTAAGGGTGCCTTCTTCTGTGGGCTTGAGGACTTTCTCTTGAGAGAGGAGTTGGGTGGATGCTAATTAACATTGCGGAGCCTGAGGGTTCACCAATGCCATGCTAGTGTGTGTGTATGTGTGTGTGTGTGTGTGTGTATGTGTGTGTGTGTGTGTGTGTGTGTGTCTCCACAGTGATCTTGTCTGAGTTTCCTTGGTAAATATTTTCTCTCCCAGTCTCTAAGGAAACAAAGTGCTATAATTACTTAAGGTAGGGTGTTTGGCTCCATCCTCCAAGAGCAGATGGGCAAACAGGCTCTGAGGAACTGTCATGTATGTTCCTTTTCTTGGGGGCGGGGCTACGTGTTTTGGCAAAATAAAGAAACATTGTCTCCTGAGGCCAATCTGAGTTCTCCATGATGGTTTTTGGAATAAGGCCATAGGTCAAAGAGAGACAGAAATATAAAGAGTTAGAAAAAGTCCGAAAGTCTGGCAAATACCTTTATAGGAGTGAAGAGAGACTAGAATCATCTGTCCCAGAGAAAGGGAGTCCGGTCACTGAAAACACAAATGTGTTTGTTTTCACTTGCATAACGTTTTTCAAACAAGAACAAATTGAAAACTTAAATGGAAAAATACTTTTGGGGTAAAAACATACTGTTGGTCCATTATGCCCTCACAGACGGCTGCCCAAGCTGTTATACCCGTGACTAGGATAGAAACCCACCAGTTAACATCTGGGCTGATCACACTCTATGCACACCTGGGCTGACTACATCTATGCACATCTGGGTTGACCACACTCTATGTACATCTGGACTAGCCACGCTCTAAGCACACCTGGCCTGACCATACTCTATTCATACCTGGGCTGACCATACTCAGTGCACACCTGGGCTGACCATACTCAGTGCACACCTGGGCTGGCCATACTCTATGCACACCTATGCTGATCATACTCAGTGAGCACCTGTGCTGATCATACTCTATGTACACCTGGGCTGACCACACTCTATGCACTCCTGGGCTGACCATACTCTAAGCACACCTGGCCTGATGATACTCTATGCACACCTGGGCTGACCACTCTCTATACACACCTGGGATGGCCATACTCTAAGCACACCTGGCCTGACCATACTCTATGCACACCTGGACTGACCACTCTCTATGTACACCTGGGCTGAAAGTCTTTGAAGTAAACACTTGTTCTCTTAGTCACCACCTTCATTAAATTGGTAGTGGGAAAATGGCCCTGTGGTAGGAAGAATTTTCAATCAATTGATCAGGGAATCATTTCATTTCTAAATAAATATTATGAACAAATGATGGAGGTGTAGTCCTCTGCGAACGATGCAGCAAGAAGCTGCCTCTTTGGGGGAATGTGTTGTTTTGTGTGGCAAGCTTCAAAACTTCCCTTTTTCCCATTTACACAGAAGAAGTGAACAGTGCCCCCATGTTCCTGCTTTAACCCTCTTAATTTTATGGCTGTAGACCTATACGTCTTCCTGGCTGTGTCTCTTTCCCCTGGTACTTTTCTCCATCTGACCTTTCTAATTCTGTAGTTCCCTCTTCACTTCCTTCTTCTCTTTTACATCACCACTTGTCTCTTCCCAACCAGCCCAACTGAGTTTTTTTTTTCTCCTTGCAAATGACAAACACACTCCCAACACCTTTCACAAAGTCCTGGTTGCAATGTGTGCAGCTCTGCCTTGCCCTCCTTGGAAGGGGAAAGCTGGGGGACAACCTAGCTTAGGACATTCACAGTAGTGGGCCTGGATGGACACCCAGGGAGCTGTAGAGAGCAGGTATTCAGTTGGAGCTTCAGAATGTCAAGAATTTCCAAAGCAAAAGTGAACCAAGGCCAGTGTGGCTAACTGGGCCACAGCAGGGTTCAGTCTTTCCCCCTAAGCTCTGTGAAAGGCTTGTCAACAGTACTGAAACTCCTGTCCTCTGTATTCCTATGTAGGTGTTATTTTTTAATTTCTCTTAAGTATAATTCTAATGAAACTAATAATATAGCACTTGGTATATGTAAACACAAGAGAGACACATAACAAATTAATCACTCTTAGTTAGACCCGAGTTTGGCTTCTAATGCTCACAGAAAGATCTTTTAAAAAAGAAAAGGAAATAGTATCAACAGAGAAGGAAGGACAACAGTTGGATCCCCAGAAAAGTCACCAGCATTCATGAGTGAAAATTTTCAGTTCTTGGTCATAGAAATCCCTGGGAAACAACCAAATGCTGCTTGTATGGGCTCATGTAGAGTTTGGAGGTCCTTGGGAAATGAATGCACCAGCTGAATATAAAGTTAGGAGCAGTCCTTCCACACCCCCATCAGGCCAAGTGATGCTTCTGCTTCATTAGCTTTGAGGAGTCTTTGTGTCAGTCAAGATGCTGATGGGGTTTAAGGGCAAAACTGAAGAGTGAAGGGAAGCTCACTTCTTTCACAGTTATGAAATCCTGGCTGCTGGAAGACTTGGGGAGAAGTCTTTTATCTCAGTACCCGACATCATTAGCATCACAAACCCCCATTTTGTTGCACATAGGAGCCAGGAGAAGCTCTTTGCGACTTAAGCACAGGAACATGTGTGAAGGAGGCATACACTCCTGACTGCGAGTTATCACTGCAGGGTTGCTTATGAGGCACCCCAAGTCCCTCCTTATTACCTCCAGACCAAGATCTTAACTTCCACTGTGTGCCAGACACTCCCAGGAAGAGGTTGGAGTCCACAGCTTCTTTCCGGGGTCCACCTTGTCTTTCTGACTCTCTGCTATGCGTGCAGGAAGCATTACATGGCTATCCACATGGGTCTGGAGATTGGCACTGTCCCTCATGGTCATCTGTGCTTCCTGCACTCAGACTTGGGGAAAGTTGGCCAGGTAGAGCGGGTTGGCTGCATGGTCCTGGGTACTGAGAGCCAGAGGGTTCCCAAGTACAGAGGCTGAGCGGTCTGCACGCGAGGGATATCCTCCAGGTGGTAGCATGCCCTCCTGGCACTGAGACCGGGTACATCTCCAGCACCTTAAGCCTCTACGGATGCTCAGGAGATGATCCGTGCCCAGATCTAAGTCCCTGGAGGCATCTGTGGCAACACCTGCCTCTCGTGCCCAGGCAGCTCTTCCCACCAGCGGCAAGCAGAGGCCCTCCCTGACACTCTGACCCACTTACAGCAGCTCTGGCACATGGCACCCTAGTCCTAAGAGCCAACCTTCAGGCTGAGGTCATGGCAAGGCTGAGCGCTCCCCCTTCCTCTGAAGGACTAAGGCTTGTCCTCTGTTATGCCACCAAGTGTTCCCATAGGGCTTGTCAGAAATGTCTCCCCAGGTCCCTAAGCGTCCAGAGCTGGTGACCATCTCCAACCAGAAAGGACAGTAGCTTGGTCCTGGTTCTCTGGATGAGATGCCGCTTGCCACTCTGGTTTCAGCATCTTCTGTCTATCACTGAGTCCCGCTCTGAATGGCTCTGGAAAGGTGGAGTGTAAAGTGAGGTGCCTCTGGGCTTGAGTAGGAGGAGGAATCACACTTCCTGCTAATAACGCCACACAGTGTACTACCTGGGTCTCTCCAGCAAGCGCAGCTCTCCACACAAGCTACGAAGTTCATTTCAAACCATTTCTGAAAAAGCCCAGTGATGGGAAGAGGCCTGTTAACTTCAGGTTGCTGTGCTATAGACAGTTACAGGTCATCCGGGGCCATATAGTAAGATCCTGTCTCAAAAAGACATGGAAAACAGACCAAAGGAGAGACAGGTGTATCTCTGTGAGTATGAGGCCCGTCTGATCTACAGGGCAAGTTCCAGGACAGTCAAGGCTGTTACACAAAGAAACCTTGTCTAGGAAAAGAAAAAAAAAAAGTAAAAATAAAATTTAAAGCAAAACAAAAACTTCGATTTCTTTTTTTGCTTTCCCTCCCTGCAGAGTGTGTTTTGTCAAAAATGCTAAGACATGTGGAGACTTTTTAAAACTTTGTTTTCATATTTGAGTGTGTTCAGAAGAATTCAAATGTTCTAAGTGAAAAGAACCAGGGGCTGGAGCCTGGAGGCAGGACCGGAAGAGGAGGCCATGGGTGAACATTGCTGACTTGTTCTCTGTAGCTTGCTCACCCTGCTTTCTTACACAGCCCAGGACCACCCGCCCAAAATGGCACGGCCCACCATGGGCTGGGGTCTCCGATACACTCATTTGTCAAGAAGATGCCCTACAATCTTGCCTATAGGCAGTCTGAGAGAGGCTTTTTCTCCTTGGACCTTCCATCTTCCCAAATAATCCTAGCTTAACCAGCCCAGATGCCAGGACAGAAAACTATTCCTCCACATGCCCCAAAGTAGCAACAACCAGGGTTTTTAAATGAATGAGATCTGTCATGGGTGTACATTCCCCACTGCGATGCTCCTTGTTTGTATCCATGATAGCTTCTGAGAGTCCATTATAACATGTTGTATGAGCCGTTATAGAACCCTCCATCCACTCTCAGGAAATAACTGCTTGCATCCTTCACCCAGTGAAGTTTTCCCTCTTACCCCCAGCCTACCTCCCAGATTCTCAGCTCCTGTTCTCACAGACTGCATACCACTTAGAATCCTCCCTTTGGCTATTGTCTTTCCTTATCAACGGGCAGTAATTCTGTTAATCTTTATGTATCTTAATATAAAATCAGATGAGGGAAGCTCTCTCTCTCTCTCTCTCTCTCACACACACACACACACACACATTCACACACTTTTGTCTTGGTTTAGCAATGAATAATGAATGAGAACATCATGGTGGCCAAGGAGGAAAACTCCTGCCTCTCCATAGGTTATTGTCTCCTGTTTAATACCAGTTGTCAGCCTTTAACATGTGTGCACACACACGTGTGTAGAAATAATTCGTTTCCTAAGTTAGAGTCTTCTTGGACTCTGGGATTAATGATGGGTGTTTGGGACCTTGTCAACCTCTTAGTTTGCATTTGTGGTCTGCCACTGAGACTTAGGATAAAACCGAAAACTGCCCCGCAGCAGTGACATTGGCTGTCCTG